CTCCCACCTAAAGACCCTTATGACGCACATTGCAGTTTAGAAATTTTAAGAGGTAGGCCTAGCGATCAAGGAAGTTTGCTCATTTCCTTGAGTTGTTCAAACCTTGGGGCCACCCACCAAAATAACAGTATGGCTTACCTAGTCCTTTGGGTTTGTAGGGTGTTTAATGGACCCCAATGATTAGTTGGGGTACGTGTAAGCTGACCCGAACACTCCGGTTACCAAAAAAAAATTCAATATTTTAAGGGGTACCAATCCTAAAAAACATGACTTTCAACTACAACTACAATTTGTTCCACACTAAATACAAGTTTTAGCATTGTGACCCATACCTAGTGGGTGATATCGATCAACATTGTTGTTTAAGTGTGTTGGAAGGTGAGAGTGTTGAAAAAAATTATGAGTTAATTCTAGTTTATATATGCAAGGGCAATATTACCCTTTAAAAAAGTTGAAGGCTATAGAATGAAAAGGTTTTTCAAAGAAGTAAAGTGAGAAAGGGTTGTTTTGTTTGGCATTTGCATAGGCATCTTCATGCCTTGATTGGTCTCAATTCTCTCTTTGGGAAAGTTTTTAGGATAGAGGTGTAACTTTGTTTGGGATAAAAAGTTGTTGAAATAACATTAAAAATAAGTAATTTTGGAATTAAACAAACAGAAATCAGTAATGTAATTATTAAGGGTGATCACCGTAAACCCCCATAGTTTTCATGATTTTTAAAGCGCCCGCCAGTATAAAAAATTAGAGCCTAGCCCTCATTTCATTAAAATTTACTGGACGTTAGGTAAACTTGATATTTCCACTTTTAAGGAAGGGTATTTTTGACATTCCTTGTTTTCCATAAGACCCTAGGTTATATTTCTCCCTTTTCCCCCTACTTTTTTGCCCTTTATCTTTTCCAATTTCTTTTTTTTTTTTTTTTTCTGTTTTCTCCCCCTTCTTCCTCCATTCTCATCACCGATAATGGCCTTAAGACGTGTCAGGCTAGATCTAACTCCTATCAACTAACTAGAACTAGAAGCTTCTATCGATTACCTAAAAGCCAAATTTGGCCTATAACGACGCTAATCGAGTCTAGCAACGTCGATCAAGACTCTACCAATGCTGAGAGGTCAGATCTAGCCTCTATAACACAATGAGGTTAGATCTAGCCTCTTAGAGATGATAAAGGCAATTTGATCTCTCGATGTTGATTGAGGCCTTATTCAACTTCGAGTGATCGCCTAAAGGCCTCGTATGGCCTCAAACGGCATTGCCCTGAGGCCTCCATGGCTTTCATGGCTACCGCAAAGCCTCCCATGGCCTCAAGTGGTTGCCATGACGTTGTAGAAGGCCTCAACGACACCAAAAACTATTGGAGGCACCAGCAACAATCAGTTTTTGAGATGGAGGGTTTTTTGTAATTTTTTGATGGGGGTTCTTGTAATTTTACAGTAGGTTGAACAAGGAAAAAAACAAAAGAGACATGTTAACCAGTGGCGGATCCAATTAATGACTTGTGGGGACTACAGTCCCCACTCAAATTTTAAAAAAGTCCACATTTTATATTTATTTGAATTTTACACTTATAGAATTATGAGATTTTGGGAACAGCCCCCACGGTTAGTTTGGATTTTATTTTTGTAAAACCCTATTTTTAATCCTAATATATATATTTCATATTTTTTGTGATTTTTAATTTTATGCTAGAGGATCTGTTAGTTTTTTAAAGTTTTATTAGGAGTGAAAATGAAAGAAATAAGAACTATTGGGTTTGCATTTAAACGAGGGGAAAAATCTAGGAATTTTTACATTAGAAAGCTAATGTGGTGAGGTCATGGTGAGAATAAGAGAATCTCGAGGCATTTTCATAATTCAAAGAAGTTGTTTTATATACAAACTGGGTTGTTCGCCAAAAATGAAGAAGTGGAGAGAAAAACCCATAAAGAAGAAAGGAAGAAGAAGCAAAGGAAAAGGAAAAAGAGAGGGAAGAATGGGTTTGGTCAGTTTTATCTATTTGATTTTTTTGCACTTTAAGTTGATGGTATTTGAGAAATAGGCTGAGATTTATGTTTGACATACGTTCTTGTGATAAATTTGTTGAGTTACAAGGAATTGGTGATTTGGTTAAGAATTTAGTTCGATTTAAAAAAGAAATTTTGCATACATTGGTGTATAAGTTTATGAAAGTTGCATTGGTTTTACCAGTTATGATTACGACTGTTGAAAGAGTTTTTTCTACAATGAATATTGTGAAAAATCGGTTATGCAATCGAATGAGAGATCAATGGATGAATGATTGCTTGGTCATCTATATTGAGAAATATGTATTTGATATAATTGACAATGAGATGATTATCTAACGTTTTCAGAATAGGAAAACTCGTCAAAGACAATTATAAAAAAATGTTTTATTTTTACAAAAAAATGTGTTTTTTTGAATATATTTATTTGTATTTTATAACTTTTTATTGAAACTCATGGTAATGAAAAAAAATATAATTATGATTGATTTTATTTATTTTTTATTTTTTATATTTTTTGCTTTATATTTTGCCCCCATAATCCGCCACTGATGTTAACCTAACAGATACTTATCAAAGAGAATTAAACGGAATAGGGGTTAAGCTCCTATTTCCAATACTAACAGGTGCTTCCACAATTCATGAAAATTATGGGGATTAAGTAATATAAGCCTATTATAAACTATAAAGCACTACGGAACACAAATATGTCTGCGGAAAGTGAGATAGCATACAGCTTGCACGTATATCACGTTAAAGTTGACTACACAGTCAAGTCTGCCAAGAATAATACACAAAAGTAGATTCCATAACTGGAATCTTTATGTTACCGGTTACATTGTTCACCAGTAACAATACCAGACCATTCACGGATATAACTTATTCCTCCATCCAAGTGAGCTAACAACTCATCAAACATTCACATAATGAATAATGATAGACCAGTAACTGCTGACATCTGCATCTGCCCAGAGAAAAACCAGAACAAAATCTCAATGAGGATTGAGGAGTTACTCTCATATTCTTATTGAGTGAGGATCATAATTCCAGTCACTGTTAAGTTACGAGTAATGTTATGCTTACTCACGATCTTACTAACCATCTTACTATCCTTTGTAAATATAATGCATAGTACGGGTATCATATGTAATTTTAACAAAAATAGTAAGACGGTTAATAAACTCGTGAATAAGCATAGCATTATTGGGTAAGCTATATTGGCTTTTACAGGGCCAGTGTACAGAGCTACAGGTAATAAACTTTAAGCAAGAAAAGTCAAATTTTATAACATCCATTACATCACACTACATGAGGACCACACTTTCACTTGGATAGTAATTTACATTGAATCTCCAACATGTTTAAAGGACACAACCCGCCCACCTAATCTACAGATAATGTTTAGTCAATTCATGAATGCAACCTTTAAAATTATATATTGGAATTTTCCTTTGCCTTGTCAACAATCTAAATTTATATATACATCCCATGCATGTCAATCTAACACAAAGGAAACCAATCAAATAAGAACAACAATATCTAAACAAAGTTACCTCAAGAATAGGTCTTCATGCATACCAGGTGAGTCTCATAAATTTGACTTTTGAACGCAGTCTCAACAAACTAGTACAAGTGATAAATGTTTTCCAGATATTTTAAGCCATGGAAGATATTGATTGCATAATAGAGACTGGCAATTCCAATTAGTCCATTCCAGGCAACTAAGAATGATGTGATAAAAAATGCAGATAGAGATAATGCCTTCATACCAACGACACTGGATGATGCACTTGACCAGTTAAGTAATAATAAGATCATGGGATAGACACGGAGAAAATGTGAGAGTTTAATGCGGTATCTCTCCTTCCCCTTTATTTTCTTTCTAGATTCATGAATCTTAGTTTGATACAGTCAACAAACTCAAAGCAAACAGAAAGATGTGTGTGTATGCACTCACAAGAGCACAAATATTCAAGACGTTATGAACATGTGCCTAGGTATCATCACTGTGCATTCAATTTTTATAGAAAGATCAACGTCCCTTTTTCTTAAAAAGTTATATATATGAAGATAGCTCATTGAATTAATTGCAAAGCAAGATGAATGCATCAAAGAAAGTTGGAGGTTGCGCAGATGGAAGTTAGAAAATCAGTTATGAACCTTGTCCCACAAGATGCAAGAGTTCAAGTGAATAAGGTCAAAAGTGCTAGAAATGATGAGAAACATCAAATGATTATAATGACTGAAATTTTAGCAAAAGACACGACATTTTATCAAAAAACAGAATTAAGATAGCCCAGAAGTGGTCTGCAAGCCAAATCAAATGGTTTGAGGAAGCCTACCCAAATGGTTGGCCTTATTTGACTCTCATAAGCTACCCTTATGCCCACTGCACACCCAACCAAGGAGAGCGAAAAAATTAACACATTAATAATTGTAATAGAATATAACAAAACAGAAGGACCATAACTCTGCAACAGGTCTAGAAATACAGCGTAGATGTAACGATAGCTTTGTCTTCAGAGTTGTGTAACAAACAGCCAGGTCACACAAAACTGGTGGGTCACCATAATCAAGAACCAGATCACAATAAAGATACAAAGACACAAGGCAAGTTTACAGTAATTCTAAGCCACCAAACAAAAATAAATTCTCAGAAAACAACAAACAAGTTATAATGCCATTTGAAGTATTGTGAACTCGTGCTTTAAACCACATTAAATAGAAAATAAACTAAACCCTAATACAATAAACCTACAGGTACATTTTTTTTTTTAATAAGTCTGCAAATGAATTAATTCTGCATAAATCATCCCAACCATGTATAGGTAATTGGATGAGTCATTCACCAATTTGTAATGTAATACAAATTGCAACTGTCATGAAACCTACTTGAAAATGTGGATGAGAATAAGCAGGGAATTATAAATAAGAAAGGTAACAAAAAATACAATATAGCATAGTTTTATGTACACAAAATTATAACAAGTTCACCACTTTAAAGAAAGGAATCTACCAAAAGCAGCATTTCAAACAGCCTTCAAAAAATTGCTGTTTTTAAACCCAATATTTATTCTTTCCAGGACACCTAATTGATGATTCACTTTCTGTGTACGTATAAATAAAAATCAAAGACATTTTGAACAGAATGCAAACCTACTTATCTATTCATTCACTCTCACATGAATGTGTCATAATAGTACAAATAAAGAGGCTTAGAAACGAACCTTTTAATTACAATTTGACCTGCTGACACTAACAAAAGCAAGGTCATAAGGAAGATTCATGTGAATTTAGGTTTAGGCACTGGAGAGCTATTAGGATGCACGGGACCAAGCTTTTGAATCCAGTGAAGGAGCCTTTTCTTATGATCTTGGCAAGCTGGGTTTTGTACCAGATTCAGGGTTCCATCACGGGCATGTGAAGATTCAAATTGCTCCAATACTTTCACAATGTGCCAAAACTCAGGCCTCTTCTCCGGATGCGAGGACCAACATTGCTCAATTAAAGCTCCCATGGCAGGTGGACAATCCCTTGGAATAACAGGTCGCAAGTTCTGGAGAAAAAAAAAATCAGATCCTTATATTAAAATCACGTAAATAAAAATCTCTCATTGAGATTCATACAAGAATTGTCATAGCAAGAAGATAAAAGAATAATAGAACCAAAACAAAAGATATAGATGCTATGAAAGATTCAAGTCTAACATAAACGGGAGAAAACAACAAATCCTCATATCACCAACCTCATGCAAACAATTAATCAAGGATATCTACATGGTGTCAAAATAGAAATTTACAGTAATTCAGTAAGCCATAGTGTTCATTAGCATTAAAAGAAAAAAAAGACTAATGAAGTATATAATTAACTCTATGATGGATTTATTGAGTCATGGAAATCAAGGTCAGTCGATTTTCCAGTAGCATCTATTTAATCAATTGATATAAGGGCTCTAAGCGACAACTTATTATCACTGCCTCATTAAAATTAAATCTCATAACCAAGAAATTAAAAAAGGAAAAACAAGTAAAAGAAAAAGCAGATCGTCATGTTAAAATCAAATAAATTAAACCATTAATTGAGATTCATACTAGCATTGTCATAAGGCAAGAAGATAAAAGAATAATAGAACCAACATAAAAACAAATAGATGCTATAAAAAAAAATTCAAGTCCCACATCAAACTAGAGAATAGTCAAATATGATAACGAACCCTTAAATCACCAACCCCATGCAAACAATTTATCAAGCATATCTACTATGGTAACGAATAGATATCTTTCCAGCTCATTCGGTAAGCCATATTGTTCATTTGCATTAAAAGAGAAAAAAAAAATTAAAGAAAGTACATAATCAACTCTATTATTGACTTATTGGATCATGGAAACCAAGGCATCTATTTTCCAGTAGCATCTATTTGATCAATTGATCTAGGGTTCTAAACAACAATTTCTTAGCACTGCCTCAAGAAAATTAAATCTCATTAACCAAGAATGGAAAAAACAATATATCATGGAAATAAAGATAAGTCTACTATCCACTCGGATTTATTGATTAGTTGATTATACATTTTCAACATTGACTTCTTACTAGTGCCTCCTGAAAATAAAATCTCATTTACAAATATTTCTTTTGCCAACAACATTATAAAATTTACTTACATTGGCCCTGCATAAAACCAAAAAGGTCTCTTATTTTTCTTTCATCTTTTCACCCCCATTATAGTGGTGATGCAGATTTGAGGATTGTTTTCTAGCAAATACAACTATTTTAAAGCAAGATACCATTGCTATAACAAGTTCAGTGTTAAGAAGATTATAAATTATATGAACAATAGCACAAAACCATCAAGATATTTGGCGGCTTATATGCTAATCCAGTCTTTGATTGCACACCTTAACTTCATACTAAATAAACATCAAACTGAAAATGATTAATTTGATAATTAGATTTGTGTTGTTTCATTCTGAGAGGTTTGAAGGCAGAGGAATTCTTTATCAGAAGCAAAGGACTTTAAACACCAATAGTCTGAAGATACAATTCCCAGATAACTAATAGCCTATCAAAGCAGCTCATTTGAGATGATGAATTTGACGAAATAAAACTGATACGCACTCACAAATAATAAAAACTTTTTGGTCGATTCATGAAAATTAAGAAACATACCTTATTCACAACTGCAAAAGCAGCTTGGATGGGATTCATATCCTCGTATGGGATTGTTCCGGCCACCAATTCCCACAAGATAAGTCCAAAACTGTAAACGTCAACCTTTCGCCCATGCGGTTTGTGCTTGATCATCTCAGGTGCCATCCAACGATAAGTTCCTGGGTCATCGGCCCATGCATCACAGTACTGCTCTTCACAAGCTATGCCAAAATCAGCAATTTTCAGATGGAATTCTTCATTAATAAGGACATTTTCTGGCTTAAGATCTCGATGTATGACGCCTTGAGAGTGAATGTATTCCATTCCCCGTGCAACATCTAGAGCAATTGCAATCAATTTCTGTAAGGGAAGGGATTTGTGCTCAAGCTTGTGCAGGTATGCCCTCAAGGAACCTTCTGATAGATATTCTGTGATGACAAAAAATACCGGTGGCTTTCTACATGCTGCTACAAACTGTTTAAAGATAAAACCATACATGTAAGAATGGTTAAGGAAGAAACCTCAAACTTATTCACAAACATGGATATGTTTGGCCATAAAACCACAATGATAATTTGTTCATGATTAAAACATTCCATATTGTTTTCACAAAATTACAGCCATGACAATTAGTTATGAATCCATTTAACGCAAAATAAGCATGAATCTTCTAAATCCTCTAAGAAGCTTAAAGAAACATATAGAAAGGTAAATAATCAAATAAATCATAGTCACCTTGATGACATTTCGATGGCGGAGCCGAGATAAAAGAGTAACTTCCCGACTAAATTGCTTCTCTAACCGAGCTGCCATGTTTCCATTTTCGTCATCATCAGGTATCCTAATAATCTTCACTGCAACAGGCTCATCCTTGTATATCCCATGGTAAAGCCTGCTATGTGCCCCATGAGCAAACCTAAGCCCGAGAAACAGCTGAGCAAGATCAACACCATATTCATCTGCAGCCCCAACCGCGTTAACCCTGCCTCCACCGTGATCAAAATACTTGGTCCAAGCTGACTCCTTTCTGGTCTTGAATTTATCACTGATTCTCAGAGAACCCAAGTGATTAAGCGGGCTTGTACTAAATGAATTTAATGATGGCTTGGAATCTTTATGGGAAAGTTTATGTGAAAACTTTCCCTTAAGTCCTTTCTCTTTCACTGATTTTTTTCTCCCAGGAAGTGGAGTTGAAAACCTTTTAGTATTAGACCTCGCTTCCTTAAACGTATCAGAGAGAACTGTTTCAGGCTGGGGAGATAAAGATCTCTGCTTCTTGATTGGTTTTCTCTGAATCTGTGAATTACTGGGAACTGATTTGTCATTGGAAGAGGCTGTGACGGGCCTTGATTTCAATCCAGAAGTCCTTTCTGGTAAAGTAAAATTAATAGAAGCCAATCTAGAAGAATCAAACCTATGACAAACAGTGTGAGAAAAATTTGTTCTCCTTATCCAAGAATTAGCCTCGTCGCCCATTTCCCTGTTTCTCTTTTCCCAGTAATTCAAAACCTGAAATCCTAAAAGACAATTGAAAATTTTCTAAACTTGTTCACCTCCTTGTTATTATTCAGCTGAAAAGTAGTAGAAGGCTCACGAAATCCAATATAACTTACAAAACAGATGAAATTTACAATCGTCAAACCCATTAACAAGCAGAACACTGAAGAATCAAATTTTGACTTCGCTAAAATCAAGAAACCAATCAAACCAATAAATAAGACCAATCCTTGAACCCAATCTCATCTCCATCAAAGCCAATATCCCTTGAAAACCATAAAAAATCCGTACAAAAAAAAAATAATAATAATAATTTTTTCTATCCCACCATCAAAGCTAATCCTTATCACAAGTTCAAAACCAGACCCCTCACCTCCCAAGACAATCTAGTTTTTTCTCCTCCTTTTTGGCTTCAAAGTCAAACACCACCTTCCTTAAGAGCCTGGAAAATCCCACAAACAGGTTACTCCAAATAAACAAATCATTTAAAAAATGAGAAACTCCCAGAAAACAAGCAACGAAAAGTAAAAAAGCATACTCAATTATATTGAAAATAAAGAAATACCCATGATTATAACCCCCATTAAACACAGAAGAAAACAATCATTGTGTCAAAATTAACCATTTTAATAATCATAAATAACAAATCCCCACAGAAAACGAAAACCGAAAAACAGAAAAAAAAAAATTAAAAAAAAAAGTCATAAAAGTACAAACGAGTACATTTACGTTACGTTACATACCCACCACGGAACGGTGGCGTTTTGGACTTTGACAAAACTCTAATCTTTGAGCATCACAGATTTGTTAGATGCTGTGAACAAGGACACGATCTTACGCTGTTTATCAAAATAGAATTCTTCCCAAACGATCTTTTTTTTTTTTTTTTTGAAAATTACTAAAACAAGTAGTATACAAATACGTAGTTCGTATATGGAGAGAGACAGGGACCGTAGATTCAGTTGACCCGATATTTTAGCAGTAGGTGGGACCCAGAGGTGGTGCTGGTGAAGATGGAGGAGGTGGGGGACCACGGAAGAAAAGTCAATAAAACACGGAGGACACTATTAAATTTTAAAAATAAAAAGTTTTTTTTATTTTTTGTGATTGATCATGTGGTGGGGAATACAAGTGTCACTATCATAGAGAATATTAGAATGTGCGGGTCTATGGTGCTGGATGGTACGTTTCGCACGGATACTTTATGTTTATTTTATTTTATTTTTATTGGTGGTTGATGGGAATTTATAGGTAACATCATTTTGTATTTTGTATTTTCTCTTTTTTTGGGTAAAATAATAAAATTCTTCTTAAATTTAAAAAAATAGAAATAATTAAGATGAGTTTGGGTAAGTTTAATTTGGGACAGCTAATGAAGTAGATAATAGATTGATATTGGTTCTTGCACCTTCTAATATAACTCTATATTGGTGTGTTTTAATATGGTTAAAACTTTTAATAAATTACGTATTTGTAAGGGCCCATGAAAGTCTTAGTTCTCGTTTGGGCCTGATATTGGTGACCCTGACCCATTCTGTTCAATTAGAATAGTTCCCAGTGGGTCTCCACTACATTCTTGTTTCCGAATTGGGTCTTCTTTTCTTTTGTAGACTATTAAAAGGCTTCTGACGTGATCTGCTTCTGCTGCTTAATTACGGACTACTGCCTTATTTCGATCTGTTAATTGTAACTGTTTATGGGCTTCACCCATTTACTTCTCGTGGTCCTTTACTACTATGCTTTCAACCATTTTTTCAAAATGGATCTCGCTGTTTCTTTCCGACCAGATCCCATTAACGGCGGCCAAAAATAGAAAGATCGATTCATGGCCAGCTATATCCATCCAATCGCGCACCTTTCCGGTCACTATCAACTGCGACTAGCAGTGGTGGCCAAATCTAGCTGTGGTCTTAGATAATTTGGTTGAAATGGAAGGATAATAAGATCTTAAAAATCTTGTATATAAGGATAAAATAGTCTATAAATATTCTTGTAAACTATTTTCAAAACAAGAGCATGAGTGTCAAAAAAAATTATTAATTATGGATAAAATTGTAACAAAATTAAGATTATCAAATATCCTTATAATACCTAAGAAAATAGTGGTATTCAGATTACTACCTATATAACCAATAATGATTACTATTGGTATTGTAAGATTACCGAAATCTTTTATTACTTAACAACCAAACATGGTAATGTTAGTAATATAAGATAATATTACTGGAGTAATGGAGGATAACCTCCAACCAAATGCACCCTAAGAATGCGTTTGAAGGGTGCGTTTGGTTCAAGAAATGTTGTATTACTGGAAATATTGTATTAATAAAAAGATAGATTACCTAAAGATTACTGTGAATGTTTAGGAAAATGTGTTTGGTTAGTTAGAATAAATTGGTGGATATGTTATATTAATATGTTTGGTTGGGAGGAATAGATTGGTGGGTATGTTATTTAAATCAATAATATTATGCGTACTAACAAATTTTATTAACCAGCGTACTAACATAAAGCATAGTACGGGTACCATATGTAATTTTAACAAAGGTTAGTATGCTGATTAGTAAAATTCGTTAGTATGCATAACATTACCCTATTTAAATTACTAAATTGTTCACTTATTAAATATTATTATTTAATAATATTATTTAGATTATTAAATATAATCCCTTACATTTAAAAACTTAGCAAAAACAACCCCATAATAAAAGTTTGGAAAATCAATGAATGCACCCCCAACAACCCAGCCACTATCGGCCGCCGGCAACCACTATCGAACGCTAGCAGTGGGCAACCCAACGGCACACGATCGGTCGAAAATGGTTTTCGTGCATCACTCTGGCCAATTTCGGCCGGATATATGGTCGAAAATGACTAGATCGTGACATATTTGGCCAAAAATCGGCCAGATTTAACCTGCTTGTTTCCAGCCAGATCCATTAATCTAGTTGAAAATGGCCAAAATAGATCTGGCCGTTTTCGACTAGATCTACAGCCATATCGAAGACTCTCGATGACTTTTGGCCACTTCTAGCGACTTTCGGTGATGGGGGCTTGGTGGCAATGATGGTCTATAATTTGTTTAAAATATAAGGGCATTATTGTCTAAAAACTTAATTAAACAGGGGTAAAATTGTAATGGCAGATCAATGTAAATTGTTTTTAAAACAATACATTATTGTCCAAAAATTTTATTAATAAGGGATAAAATTATAACAAAAATAAGAGTACCAAGTAATCTTAAAATTCTTAAGAAAATAGAGGTAATCAGATAACCTCCTATATAACTAACAGTAACTACTATTGGTTTTGAAAAATCACCGAAATCTTATATTACTTAATAACCAAACATGGTAATTAAATAATATAAGATGATATTACCTCCATAATCTAACATCCCTTACAACCAAACACATTCTAAGTATTAATTACAATAGTCGCCGATAGGACAATTAAGTAACGAGAATCCCTTTGTAGTTATACTGAACAAAAATTTAACGTTAAATTTTTGGTGCTAAAATAAATGGTGGAGGGACAGTTTGGTAAAAATTCGTTGACCCATTATGTTATGAAATCTAATAGCTTATTAACGGTTCATTAAAAGCTGATAATTTGTGTAATTTCTAAAATCTTAAGAGAGACTTCAAGAGAGTCAAGATTAAAACCTCTTTTTTTAATACAAGGAAAAATGGGGCCTAGTAGCTTGACTACAACCCAGGAGATTTAAAAAAAAAAAAAAAAAAAAAAATCATGAGTTGCTCATGCTCTTATGTTACTTTCACGCTTTGGGTTCAAGGGTAAAATAAAAGTACTTATTTTAAAATAATGCAAGGTACATTTGAATCATATAATATTTTATTATAGAGAAATATTATATTAATAGAAATATAAATCACCTTAAAGATTACTAATAATATTTAGAGAAATGTATTTAGCTGGTTCGAGTACATTAGTGAGTATGTTATATTTATATGTTTTGTTGGGAGAATAAAGGGATAGGTATGTTTTATAGATTACTAAATTGCCCTCTTTTTAAATATCAATATAATATTATTTTTTGAATTATTTTTTTAACCCCATACATTTAAAATTTTACTAAAACAACCCAGCCATATAAAAACTTTAATTTGTAATAAAATTATCCCCAACCACCCCAAGCCACTGCCGGCAGCTAACTGCCACTGCCGACAGCCAACCGCCACTGTCGATCGCCATCAACAATTGACAAAATGGCACACGATTGGCCGTATATGGGCGGTCGTGCACCGGCAAATCTGGTCATGAAAAGGCCAGATCTTTGGTCGTGAAACGGTAAGATCAGTGGTCGTTTCACGGCCAGATTTGTGGCTGTGAAATGGTCATAGAAATGGTTAGATCTGGCCGTTTCTAGTGCACAACCGACCAAATCCCGCTAGTTGTGCATTGTTACTGCGACTGCCGCTAGTAGTGGTGGCTAATGGTCGATAATGGTCTTGGGTGGCCGAGGGTATTTTGTTAACTTTTAAACTTTTTTTCTAATTGGGATGTTTTAGCTAATTTCTCAAATGTAGGGGGCTGGGTAATTGTTGTTTGGTAGACATTTAAGGACAATTGTGTCTGAAATAGTATTTAATTAAAGGCAAAATATGTATAAAAATCTGATTAACTCAGTAATATTTTAATAATAGCCCATGGGGAGGGTATCTGATTACCCCGTACATTACCAACAGTAAACATTGTTTGCAATAAAAGATACCCGTAATATTTTATTACTTGCAAGCCAAACAACGAAATCTTGTAAAATAAATGAAGATTATCTCTGTTATCTTATATGACCCAATCCAAACGCGCCCTAAAAGGTTTTATTTATAAAGCAACACCTATCTAACTGCTTTATAGAAAAGCACTTAATATGCTTTATTTTTATTTTTATTTTCAATAAGAATTTAAAAATATTTTTTCTTAAGCTTATTCAATCAAACGATAGGAAACAAATACAACATATTTTCATTGACATGAACAAATAAATAAATTTCACAAAGATTCACAACCCAGACTTAAATCTCAAATTTTGTGTCCCAAATAATACACCATTAATGCTTTATATAAACCATCTAAAACAAATCGTTTAACACCATTTAAGATGTCAAAGTTATGATATGATACGTAACATGATTCTAATAAAAAAGCTAGTGAGTCTAGGGGTGAGCAAACTTTTAGGGTAGAAATGGAACCGACAGGTACTCAGGGTGTATTTGTTGTAAATAGTTTAAGATGTATTTGTAATTTTCATAGGGTATATTTATCATTTTTGCAAACATGAGAGGTGTATTTGAATTTTTTTGTGAACAAGTTCCAGTTCCAACTTCCAAGCATTTAAGAACTGGAACCAACCAAGTCCAGTTCCAGTTCCTAAATCCTAGGAACCACCGGCTCTGGTTCCAAGGGATTGGGTCAGGTACCTAGACAAGATGATATAATTTAGCAAGTGCATAAATTGACTTCGTTGTGAAACTTGGTATAATCAATAAGCTAGTCAAAAGATTAAACACATAAAATTTATATAATATGCCAATAATATTATTAACAAGGGAAGAGTATAAATAAGAAAATGATTTTTTCCTTATTTATGATGCATCCAATCCGTTCCCATATCTATACACTAAGTAAAAAGTTCGACCATCGAAAGGCTCACAATTAAACCCAACGAAGAAACTGGACAAAATCTTGATCATCAACAGTCACAAAACCTCAACTGCCGTACAATGCATATTGGGTAATTTGTCTAGCAAATCCTCAGTTAACATGGACGCTCTAGGTTTCGGCAATCTACCAGAATTTTCCATTGTAATTACTGGCGAAGTTGTGGTTCTTTTACATGAGCTAAGCCATTTCGCTTGCATGTATCTCTGTTTTCGCCATGGACCCATGTGCATTTTCTTCTCCTTCATGCACTTCTTTGCCGCCTTGCATAAGATCTTTATCACATTATTTAATCTTTCGACTTTTCCCACGAATACTTCCGGCAGCCGGCGGACTAATCTGTTGTAATCTTCACTCGCTCTAGCCATCTCGAACTCTGCCCTGAAATTCAACTCGATTATCACCCGCTCCTCTCCTTTCTTTGTACTTGAATTGTCTATCACATCTATGAATGTGTGTTCCCCTGCATATTTCAGAGCTCGTTACATTAATAAATCTTTGCAAGTTGAGTTAAACAAAATTAATATCAACAAGCAATTATATTAAATTTGCAATATTTTGTATTTACCTGAAGGAATATCCGGGGAGCTTCTCCACTTGGACTTGCAAATGGCACTATTATAACCGGCACTGCTAAGGCGGCTAGAGACTTCTCTCATCAAGCAACTCCGGCAACCACCGGCAGCCACCGATCTCCCACAAGCACATATATTTCCAGCCATATTCTTTATATCCTTCAGAGCTTCTTTTGTAGCGTTTCTTATCTTTGACTCTAAAGAGCTACTTCTGCATAAAGTTGCCTGTAAAACCTGGTGTTGTGTCTCCCAGAAACTTGTGTTATCTTCAACACCGCCATTGTTTTCCTTTTCTGGATCATCTTCTTCCTCTAACGTTTCACTCGCAGGTGATGACATTGCAGCAACATTGCTAAAGCTCGCGGGAACCATCGTCTCTCCGTCTTCTAGAAACCCGAAAACCATCTCCGATAAGCTCCCGACTGGTTGCATCGGAAACTCTAATTCTTGAATTCTTGTTCTAAAACTCGGCATCGCACAAATTCAAAGCAAAATATTAAATTAATCAACTTCTCGTTGTTAAACAAAGGTATTCTATATCGCTTATATACTAGTTGGACTACAGTGGGGACCCAAATGAGTCTACGTGGACCAACTAGCCGCCGGTAACATGAGGGGTAGCTTTTGTTGCCCACGTGGCCTAATACCATTGGTGAAAATTAATCAAAACAGTGAAGTATTTTTTGGGATATGAATGATCACACAGCAAGGATCCACGTCAGTGAGGTTCAATAATTATGATCTACAACAATCTGGATATACTCGAATATTCAAAAACTAAAAAGAAATTAATTTAATTTTAAATTTTTAAGATAAAAACACAGCCTAAAGTGATGTTTGCTATCCTGTCTTGTCAATGGTGGAACCAGCACCAATGTGACAGAAAGAGATGTGTATGATTGTGATGAAACGAGGCGAAACGAGGACCGTCGATGGTGAGCTTTATCCACAAAGTGGGACCTGTACTACTTACCTAACACAAAATAATCGAGAAAATGGTAGTAAGAAAGATTGCCCAGAAAACGCGGCGTCTTGGCAATGGCTTGGGTAATTGGGTTTGGCATTTTTGAGGACAAAGACAAGAATAAGGGGTAAATTTGTAAATTGGATGGGACAATAATTCTGAACGGGTCAAATTTTGTAAAACGCCAAAGCTTTCATTTGGATACCCTGGCCACACGGAGAATTATTCCTTCCATTCCATCATTAACATGTGAATTTCATTTATTTATGAAATTATTTTCATATTGCTTTTGGCAATTTACTAATTAAGATGCTGAATGAGTGACCATTTATGATTATAAGTTCAATTATTTTTAATATTAAATTAGAATAATTTGTACGATTTCATGGCCCAGCATAATTTCAACTCAATCATACTCATCTTTTGTAGATAAAATTATTTCATCTCCTAATATGTCTTTTTTTTTTTCTTTTTCTTTTTTAATCATAAGTTCTCCGAATCAGCTTACACACACCTCAACTAATCTTTCAAGACTTTGAAATTACCAACCAGATAAAAGCTCCAATGACTACCCCCTATTAGCACCTAAAAAGAAAATCAAACTCAAGATCTCTTATATAATATACCCAAGAGTTTCTATTGTTTGCTATTAGATCATCCAAAGAAAGTTATCGCCCAAGATGTCATTATAAATATAATTAATATATATTAAACAAATACTGCCCTAACCTCCATCCACTAATATTTGAATAGGGGTCGTAATGTCATTTCACATGATCAAGCTTATGATTCACATGTTATCAATATTATGGATATGCATCATTTTCAAATTGACAAATTGTTAGATTTGTGTTACGTTGAGTGTTAGAGGTCGATTGAAAGTTTAAAGCGAACAATAAAGAATGTCATCTCAAATATTAATTATCAAATGACAATCAAGGAAAGAGATAATTTTTTATACATACTGTAGAAATGTCCAGAAACTAATAGATATGAAGTTTCTACTACTAATAAAATCATATTGAGCTTTATATTAAAGAATACTGTTTATGCGGAAAGCATCTAGATCAATTCCCATTTTGTTATAACTAGAATCAATTAAATTTCAAGTGTCATGGAGCTATTTCATTCTCTTTTTTATCTATATATACCCCATTAAAATTAATTAATTTTCATTTCAATTCCCATGTTGTCTTGGAAGGTAGATCTTCGTTTTTGGCACGACACTAATCCATAGCTGTAACAGTAACACAACCATCTCCAGACTTCTAGTATTATGCGTCTCCTTTAGGTCAAACACTGTTTAATTTTGAAAAGCATTCATATAAACCGCATCCAACAATTAAATTATTACAATATAGTACACAGTATCAACCAGCCATTCTTGTTTCTCTTGAGGTTCAAAATCCAGTTAATGGTATCCGGTCCTCAATTAACAAGAACGACTTCCCAGAACTCTTTTTCTTTTTTTCTTTTTTGAAACAATAATGTTTCTAACAAAAATTCATATAAAATGATGAATAATACTATGCATACATCATTCTCATACAACATTAGATGGTAAAATGTGATTAGGTGAAAGTTTAATTTTAACTTTAAATTAGCCAATCATATATTGTCACGTCATATTGTATGGGAAATGTTGTATGAAAATGATGTATGTGTAGTATTACTCTAAAATGATTGCTTTATCCTTTATTTGTCTGTTTGTATGACTCAGTTGTAAACATATCATTACTCTTTTTTAAATTCAGTTTTTTATAGTCTTAAGGGTATTTTTGGTTCAAGAATTATTATATTACTGAGAATGTTATATCAAAAGATAGATTACCTTAGAGATTAGTATGAATCTTATTAAAAATATGTTTGGTTAGATTAGATTAAATTAGTGGATATGTTATATTGATTTGTTTTGTTGGGAGAAATAAAAGATTTCTGGGAGGATCCTTTCACTAAATTGCCCTTATATTTTAATATTATTATAATAATAATAATATTATTATTATTAATAATTTGTATTTTATCATTCTAGCCACCAAAAAAAGTTTAAAATTCAATAAAAACACCCCAGCCACCTTCCCATCACCATCGGCCACCCACTACCACCTTTGGTCGTTCGCCGTTCTGGTGACTATCGGCGACGGCCAGTAGTGGTGGCCGACGACCGATAGTTCTCTTGGGTGGCTAGGGTGGTTATGGAAGGTTCATGTAAATTGTTTTCAAATCAAAGCATTATTGTCCAAAAGTTTTAATAATTAGGGATAAAATTGTAACAAAAATAAGATTACCAAATAATCTTAGAAAACCTAAGAAAATTGTGGTATTTAGATTACCATATATATAACCAATAATGATTACTATTGATTATAGAAAATTACTGAAATCTTATATTAGTTGACAATCAAACATGATAATATGAGTAATATAAGATGATATTACTAAAATAATCTTTTATATAACCCCCAACCAAACAGTCTCTTAAAAGTAATCTCTATGACCCATACAAAATTGACGAGAAAAGTGATTTATAATGTATCTCATTTAGTAAGACGTTGTGTATTTTCTATAGTATATATTTCTCTATTCAATTAAATATTAATATACTGAATACATAATTGATTATATAAGCTTTTAATTTGAGTAAGACGAAAATATGTTAGGTAAGAGTTTAATTCTCCAAAATTTAAATAGTGGGTTAGCTAATTAAATGAATGATCATGAATCAAATTTTAATACGAAAGAATCAAATAACATATCTAATTCATTAATGTAGTATTTGATAAAGACTTTGTTTTGTCTTAATATCAAACAACTTAACAAATAAGTTTAAATTTATGTTTCTGAATTCTGGTAACAAGTTCATCAACACCTAACCTCCATCAATTAGTTCATGGATCACTATCAATATTATTTCTTCCAAACTATAATATATTTATTTACTTATTTTATCATTATAGCCTTATCAATTTCTTATTTTTCTTTTTATAATTCCCTCCAAAGATTCTACTTTATCACTTCCCCTACCCGAAGAGTAGGCAAAAGAGGGTATGATCCTGGTGAAATTTTAGACGTGGACATGGGTATATTCTGCGAAACCGATGAAGTTGAATAGATACATGTGTTCAACATGCTTGCTTTTATTAATTAATCTTTTCTAAAATTTCCATTCATAATGATAACAATAACACATGCCACAAATTTGTTACCTTCTTTCTTCTAATGATTGAAAATTAAATTACAAAAGAATTTCATGTAACAAATAAGCTAATGTTACGTGTTGGTAAGTGATTTAAGTTATCATTTTATTGATAACCATTACTTGTATGAAGTGAAGACTAAAGGTGGAAAAGCAACCTGTCCGGTCCGACCCGACCTGGCTCGCGACAGGTTGCTGCAAATGGCGGGTCGGTCCTGACCCGCCCAGCGACACCCAGCCCGCCAACATTAGAGAATTGGTTGGCCTAACCTGGACCGCCAACTCTAACCCGTCGGGTTAGGCACGGGTTGGGCCGGGTTAACTCGCTTTTTGACTTTTTTTTTTTTAATTTTGTTTTGTTTTATTTTATTTAAGTTTAAATGTTTAATTAACTTTTCAAATGAATAATTAACAATTTATAAATGTAATTGTTTTTAGTTAATTGTTAATTTCTTTTCAAATATCAATAATTAAATTAAATTAATTTTTTTTTTTGTTAACATTCCAAATATTAATTCAATTTTAATACATTAAAATTGTAATATAAGAATAATTAAATTTATTCATTTATTAAAAAATAAAATAAGAAATTACAATAATTATTGCCTCGTTAAAAACCTCACCAAGAAAAACCCAATAGGACAAAAACTTGGTAAGGAAAAAAGAGTGCAATAATTGACAATTAATTTACAAGTTACAATTTACAAAACAACTAATTTTGGGGTTCACTAGGACCTCCCTCATCCGTATCATCTATATTACAAAATTGAAATGATTCTATTAAAGTATCGTCGACAACCTCGTATTGACCTTGATGGCGCGACCGTTCCCAATCTCGAAGACATGTGAGGACTTCAATCATTTGTGGTGAAAGTTTAGTCCTCCTTTCATTTAAAATTCTTCCACTTGCACTAAATGTTTGTTCGGATGAGACGGTTGAGACAGGAACAGCGAAAACATCCAAGGCAAGTCTTGATAATACCGGAAAAATACATTTTCTGGCTCTCCAATACTCTAAGAGATCAAAGTGACCTGTTGAAAACATTTCGGGGGTTGCCAAATATTGTTGAAGTTCATTACTCTGCGACTCCATGGAGGACAGCATATTAGTTGTTGTTGTTGTTGGTGGTGGTGCGTCTGAAGAGGAGGCTGTGCTTCGGACTCGGGTCCTCTTCGGCCTATTCAGTGCATTCCAAGAGAATAAGTCTTCATTTGTTTCTTCTGCTACAGCTTCTCTGGATATTTCGCCTCTTTGCGACTGCGGGTTCCCATACCTGTTTTCATATTGGAAATATACTTCGAAAAGACTATTTTTTACCTCTCCTATTTGATTGACATATGATTC